GCTCCAGTAAATGGGATGAATGGGATGAGCAAATGACACATATCGTAGACAATCAGGTTAAAAGTCCATGCTAAAAAACTAAAAGATATGGGTACAGGAAAACCACCTGTCTCTCTCTCTCTCTCTCTCTCCCTCTCTCCGTCTTTTCCCCTATCCCCTCTTTCCTAAAAAAATATAAATTATTTTTTTAAATAAAAAATTACCACTTAAAATTAAAAACCATTACCTATCCACCCAAGAATGAAACAGAAAACACAACGCCCTTTCGGTTTCTGAATGAAAAAAAAAATCATCCCTTAATTTTATTTTCCTTACCAGGAAGGACATTCCTAGTTTAGCTGTAGCTCAAACAAGGACACACTCCCATGGCCTTTATATTCTGAAATACATTATCTTATCGTAATGATATAACTTTAATCTAAATAATCGGATCAAATGATTGTTCATTTCGTTGGTGTAGAGGCCAGCCCTCCTGTTTAATTTGGCTTCGATGGAGTGTGCATTTGTATTCTAAGCCTTTTGACAAATTAAGTGTGGGAACTTTTGGGTTTTGCCGCTTGGATTTTGGGAAAGTTTTGCTCGAGCTCGGTTTCCTGTTTTCTTGAAATAAATTTTCAATTGAGGAATTTGAAAAAATATATTAAAACTAATTTTCAATAGCGGATTTTTACAATAAATTTTAAATTTTTCATTTTTTTTTGTTAACAAAAATTGGTTGATATTTTTATAAGTATTGAATATACAAAATTTTTTTCTTCAGAGACCCACAATGTAATTCGATTTTGAATAATTTTTCCTTTGACACCATTCCCAAAAAATGAAGTATAAATGGAGATTTTGATAAGGATTGGAAGAGTGTTAAATTAACAATAAAATCCCTAAAAACATAATTTCCCCTTTTTATTGCATACATTTCGACGGTAATTTTCCTAAAACCTATTAGACCTAGATATATGGTTTATTCTGAGATTTATAGTGAAATTTTGTGTAGAATATTTCTTCTCTTGGCAGTTTCAGCCTAAAATGAAATTTTATGCTACTTTCAGGCGTCAACTCGAAAAAAGTCCGAGAAAAAATAAATTGAAAAAATTAGGGAATATTTTCGTGTTATCTTTTTTTTTTGGAAAATTGAGGCAAATATTTTTTTTATTTTTATGATATGCAGTAGAGCTAGAGATTTCCTTTCTTTAAAGACTTATAGTGAAATTTGATGAGGAATATTTTTGTCTTTAATATTATCCTTCTAAAATGAAGTTTTCTTGGAGATTTTTGCCCAAATTCACATAAAGTAAGGCTTTAACACTAAAATATGTTTTTATTACATATACATTTCGAACATAATTTTCTTAAAAACTATTGTACCTATAGATATAGTTTATTCTGAGATTTATAGTGAAATTTTGTGTAGAATATTTCTTCTCTTTGCAGTTTTTGCCTAAAACGTAATTTTATGTTACTTACATTCGTTAACTCGAAAACAGTCCGAGAAAAAAATACATTGAAAAAATTAGGGAATATTTTCTTTTTTTTTTTTTTTTGGAACATTGAGGCAAATATTTTTATGGTATACAGTGAAGCTAGAGATTTTTTATCTTTGGTGACTTGGGGTGAAATTTGATGAGGACTATTTTTGTTTTGGTAGTCTTCTGTCTAAAATCATATTTTGTTGGAGATTTTTGCACAAACTCACACATAGTACGGCTTTAACACTAAAATATCTTTTTAAAATATATACAAATTTCGAACGTGATTTCTTAAAAAGTATTGTACTTATAGATATAGTTTATTCTGAGATTTATAGCGAAATGTTGTGTAGAATATTTCTTCTCTTGACAGTTTCTGCCTAAAACGTAATTTTATGTTATTTTCAGGCGTTAAACCGAAAAAAGTCCAAGAAAAATTGATAAAAAAATTAGGGAATATTTTCTCGTTTTTTTAACATTGAGGCAAATATTTTGATGATATACAGTGGAGCTAGAGATTTTTATTCTTTGGTGACTTGTGGTGAAATTTGATGAGGACTATTTTTGTCTTTGAAGTCTTCTTGCTAAAATCATATTTTGTTGGAGATTTTTACACAAACTCACATAAAGTACGGATTTAACCCTAAAATGAGTTTTTAATGTTTATGAATTTCTGGCGTTTAGGTAAGATTTAGCCTCTTGACATCTTCTAGGACCTATAGTAGAATTTCATGACAAATAATTTTGTAGAATGTTTTGACAGGCTACAGCCACTTTTAAAGGGAGTTCAAAACTATATTTTTAAAAAAGGACCAAAAGGACCCCTTTTTTGACTCGCTTAAGGGTTAACATATTTAACCACAATAATAATTGTGTTGTTAGCTATAATATTTCCAACGACACTATGTACCTAAAATCAAAGGATTCCAACTTAATCCGAAAATTTCAAACCACGTTTAAAGGGAGTTTTTAACCCTTTTAACATAGTACGGATTTAACCCTACAATGTCGCTAATGTATATATAAATTCCTGGCATTTGGGTAAGATTTAGACTTTTGACGTCTTCTAGGACCCATAGAAGAATTTTTTTCCAGATTATTCTGTGGAATATTTTGACTTTCTACAATTCCGCAAATTGGGTTTTTAGACGAATTTTGAAAAAATGGACCAAAAGAACCCCTTTTTTGACTCGCTTGAGGGTTAACATTTTTTACCAAAATAATACTCGTATTGTTAGCTACAATATTGCCAAAGACACTATATACCTAAAATCAAGGGATTCCAACTTAATCCGAAAATCTCATACGTTTAAAGGGAGTTTTTATATCAATTTTCAAAAAAAGGACCAAAAAGACCTCTTTTTTGGCTCGCTATGGGTTAAATTTTTCTTACCAAAATTATAACCGTATGGTTAGCTTTAATATTGCCGAAGATACTATGTACCTAAAACCAAAGGATTCCAAGGAATTTTAATCTGGAAATTTCCAAAAATGTGAAAGGGGGTTGGGGGAACTTGGCCCCTCTCTCTAGGTTACATTGCGATGTAACCTTTTAAAACGCCGATATATGTGTTTTCTTTTTTTAACTTCACTTTCATAGTCTGTTGGATTTTTCCGGTATTTATTGAAAAAATTGAAAATAGCCACACATTGTGATTTTTCAATATTTCAATTTCACAAAAGTATTTTCATGGGTTCTTTGAAGAATTTCAATTTTTGATGTTTTTTTTAAAGAATTATTGGAGAATCTGTGCGTTCTTAGAAAAATATTCATGTTTCCCTTCAGTCTTTCAATGAGGATTTTTTTTATTTATTTTTTTTTTTTTAGGATTTTGAAAGTCCCTTTTGGCCTTATTTAAAAAATATTTCTCTGAATCCCTTTTTGGATTTTAGATTTTTTTTAACAGTCAACTAATATTCAATTTCCAATTCTTTTTAATCAAATCTCAACAAAAATCTGTACTAATTGACCTATTAAAAATAAACGATTTCCTACCCATTGAAATTTCATTCATTCAAAACAGATTTCTATTTTTTTTTAATTTTTTTATTTTTATTTGTATTTTTTTTTTGTTGAAGATTGTCACTTTTTTGTTGCTGTTGTTGTTTTTATCATTGAATTTGCCATTTGCTAAATGTTCTTCTCTCAAATTTTCGCCACATTGTCTTGCTGTCATTATCTGTTGGGCAATCATGGGCCATGATATTCGAAACGACATCAGAAAAAAAAAATACCACATGGCTCATTGAATTTTTTTTCTGCTACAAAGAGAGGTCACTATCTAATCGATATTTAAACAATAACAACAATTTCAAAACGCACACTCAAAACACATGATGAGCAATTTGAAAATATTAGCCTCCCTACAAAAAAAAAAAAAAAAACATCTCAACTCTCAACAACAAAAAAGGGGTATCTTTGGCATGTGGCACATGCCATAATCGATACGACAGAAAAAAATTGAAAAAAAAATTGGAAAAAAAAAATATCAAGAATTTTTTTTAATGGTCCTCTTCACCTCCTCCCCCTTTTTTTGGGCTAGAAATAGCCACACATGGGTTCGTAGTTTCAACAAAAAATCTCTTCCCCACCCACCCACACAGGGCTTTGGTGCTGGCACAAGCAGCATGGAGTCAATAAAAATTTGTCACTTTTAGAAAATTAATTGCCCTTGAAACAACAACAACACCAGTGACAACAAGAATCAGTCAAATGGCATGCAACAACAACAAACAAGTTGAAAACAAACCGAGAAAAAAAAACACAAACTTGTCATGGAACCCCTTTTCATAGTTAACCTGGCGTTAAAATTCCATTTGGTTGGGGGAGAAAAAAAAATTCACCCAATTTTTTTTTTGTCCTTTTAGTCCTTTCTTGGGCTGCATTTTCCAATGTGCTTGGACATGCAATCTTTTGCCAAACAAGACATATGGTCCAAGTAATTTTATATGTGCTTTCAACCTCCAGGAAAAAAACAAAACTGCTGCAATTGCAGTTTCCGTAAATGAACCCCCAAAAGGATTGCCTCGGACGTGTTTCTAAGTCCGCTGAAATAATCCTTTTTTTTTTGGTGGGCGCTACCTTTTGCACGAAATAGCAAACCTGGTAATGGTTTAATTTCTGTTTTCCTTTTCTCTTTTTCCCATTTCTCTTTTGTTACTCTTAAAGGTGGGTGGGTTAGAAGAGGCCTTCCATGCCTTATTTCTGTGACAACTCAATTTATTGACCCCGAGTTCGATTGAGTTCTTTTCGGATGCGTGGCCCCGGACGCACTTAATTAACTGTGACAATCAATTTCGTATGCAACTTATGGCTCAATTACTATTTGCTTGAAATTGTTTGGCCATTTAATGGCTTTGTACGACTTCATCAATGGTTTGTCGAAAAAAATAAGAAAAAAATGTGGAATCTAGGATGCATCCTGATTCTCCCTGGTTGGTGTTTGCAAATTGCAATTTATTGGGTGATTTATGGTGGCTGAGAGTTTTTCGATAAAAAAGTGAAGGGAAGGTATGATAAGGGGGTGAGGTACTTACTTGTTTTGTCACCGAATCGATGAGACGCACAAATATGTCCTGTTCCTGGCGGGCACCTGAAAATGAGAGAAAGGGAAGAAATTGAAATTAATAAAAAAAAAAATAAAAATGATTTATTTTTCTTTCTTTTTAATATCCCTAGAGGTCCTTAATGAGGATATTTGCAGCTCCTCAATTTTGAACATTTCTAAGAATATTTCTGACCTTTTTAAAGAAGCAACAAAGAGTATTTTTCTTAGCAGTTTTTAATTTTTTCAAAATACTTATAAAAAATTACCAACACCTTTTCTAAGCTCTTCTGAGGTCATGAAACAAGGATATTTTCGTAAAATTAGGTGCGAATTGTTTTCAAAATTTTTTTCTTGGTTTCTCTAAGGTAATTTTTTTCCAAATTTTATATTTTGAAAATTTAAACATTTCTTTTTAAATACTCTTTCTCCTTTGAGGTCCTCGATGGAGAATATTTTTGGAAATTCTTGTTCCAAATTTTTTAAAGAGGTTACATTGGATATTTTTTCACTCATTTGTTTTTTTTTTTTTTTTTTTTTTTGGAAATTTTCTTGTTTTTATTAAAGGATTCTGGGGTAGATTTTTTAAAAATAGTAAAATTTAAAAAAAATAATTTTTTATAATTACTCCTGAATTTTTTAAAAGATTTTCTCTCAGTTTCTTTAAGGTCACCTAGCGCCCCTGAAATGAAGAATTTTTAATTTTTTTTAGCTCATTCCAGTCGAGGTCCAGTCAGATATTATTAATGATTATTCTTAAGGTATAAATATTTCCGGATTTTTCTAGGCTTTCGGATTTTTCTAGGCTTTTGGTGAGTAGATTTTCAGGACCTTTTTGTGCGGCCCTTTTGGAGTCCTTAAATAGGATTTTTTTATCATTTGCCTGTACTCTTCTAGGTCCTGCACTCTTCCTAGTCTCTCTGAAGTCCCTTAATGTGAAGTTAAAAAAACAAATTTCTCGGCACATTAAAGCGGCCTTACAAATCTTCATAGACCTAAAAACGTTTTTAAATCCCCAAAAAAGGACTAAAACCTTTAATTTCTCAAAATTTGAAAAATCTCTTTACAAGACCTTTTTAAAGGGACCTAAATAATTGCAGGGCATTGAAGAGAAAGAAAGACATTATAAAAAGCCAACTTCCAAGGCTTTTAAAAAATTCGATTGACAAAAAAAAAATCAAACAAAAAAATTGGAAGAGGTTTAGATATTTTTAAACAGGTCTAGAAAAAAAAACTAATTAAATTCTTTGGGAAATTCTGGATTTGAGATTTTGAAGAAGCTAAGAAAAATCTTAAAAAAAAGCTCGTTTAGGTACCACATTTTTTACGGCCTTCAAAACACTTTGAAAAATTCCCCTTTTGAGGCCTTAAAGAAACCATAAAAATGACTCTTAAAACTCGTCGTTTTCGGGCTCACAAAATATCTAGAAAAAATTTTTAAAAATTCCACGTCTGAGGCCTTGAAGTGACCTTGAAATATTCTAAAAAATGCCTCGTTTTGATGGCTTAAAGAAGACAAGAAAATAATCCTCAACAAATTCCAAAAAAAAAAAAAAAATCTTTTAGAAAACATAATTTTGAGGCCTAAGTTTTTAAAACCCCACTTTTATGACATTACAAATTCTTCAAAAAATTTCGAATTTGAGGCCTCGATGAGGCTTAGAAAATTTTTGAAAAATTCCTAGAAAATTAAAAACACGTTTTGAGGCATTGAAACGTCCTAGATGAAATCTTAAAAGCCCTAGAAAATCCTGGAAAAATATGCCGTTTTAAAAAGATTAAGAGGCCCAGAAAAATGCCTGAAGATCCACGATTTAAGGCCTTCGATTGGCCAGTAAAATTTTTCGTAAAGGTCTAAAAAAATCCACGTTTGAATGCTTCAAAAATTTTTTCTTAAAAATTAAATTTTGAAGACCTTAAAAACTGTAGAGACCTAGAAAATTCTTTAAAAAATTACGATTTAGGCCATGGAGAGGACTAGCAGAATTAAAAAAAATACCTTGAGGTCTAGAAAAATTATTTAAAAATCCACGATTTAAGGCCTTCGAGAGGTCAAAAAAATCATGTTTTTATTTTTAGACAAATTCTTGAAAAATCCACATTTGGATGCTCTAAAATATTTTCCGAAATTCCTTAAAAATTAAAGTTTGAAGACCTTAAAAACCCTAGAAAGTTTTAGAAAAAATTTTTCGGGTTTAAAACTATCAAGAGGCCAAGAAAAAATCTTCAAAAATCCACGAATAATTCACGTTTTGAGGTCTAGACACATCCTTTGAAAACCCACGTTTGGATGCTCGAAAAAAAATCTTAAAAATTCAAGTTTGAAGGCTTAAAAAGACCTAGAAATTCCGTTTTAAAATAATTAAGAAGCCTAGAAAAAATCTTTAAAAATCCAATCTTTAAAATCGAATTAAAGCCTGCGAGAGGCCTAGAAAAAATGTTTTAAAAATTGCAAAGTTTTGAGGTCTAGACTAATCCTTTAAAAATCCCCGTGTGGATCTTCGAAAATTTTTTTCCAACTTTTAATAGAAAAATTCTTATAAAAACATGTTTTAAAGGCCTAGGCTCAGAAAAATTCTAGTCCACGTTGTAAGGCCTTAATGAGGCCCAAATATCATTTTTTTTTAATTACACGATTTGAGAATGACCTGACATTTTTTTTTTAATTATACGAGTTGAGATCTGGAAGAGCTATAAAAATTCCTTAAAAATTTACATTTTTGATTTTTTTAGAAAAAATATATTTTAAAGCCCCAGGCTCAGAATATTTCTAGTCCACGTTGTAAGGCCTTAATGAGGCCCAAATATCACATTTTTTAATTACACGTTTTGAGAATGTCCTGACATTTTTTAATTATAAGAATTGAAGAGACCTGGAGGAGCTATAAAAATTCCTTAAAAATTTACATTTTTCATTTTTTAGAAATTCTTTTAAAAATCTGAGTTTTGAGGTTTGAAAAAAATTCTTAAAAATTCATTTCATAAAAATCATATTTTAAAAGAAAAAATATTTAAATAATTCTCCCACTTACCATTTGCATACAGCAGCTGCAGACGATATTGTATGCCATTATTAGTTTTCGTTGTATCCGATTCCGAATCCTTTTCGATGAAACCTATAAAGGCGGTGCGTTCGATTTCTATGGGTTGACCGGCGCGATCGTAGAGGGCGATGACAAAATGAAAGAAATTTGATTTTCGTAAATTGCTGGGCGGTTGTTTTTCAAAGTGGGCGCGGCCAATGCCGAGGCTAGAGAAAAAACAAAACAAGAAGATAAGAGAAAAATGAGAAAAAAATTAATATGGAAATTATATAATTTATCATGAGGTATTTAATAAGGTTTTTGAACTCTTTACCCCACCCAAAATTAAGTTGTTTTGCTGCGGGCAGGTAATTATGCATGTGACTAATGGTGAAATAATTATGACCCCCTCCCACCCCGTTTTTTTGGTTGAGAACAAGAAATTGTAACATATTTACATAGTTGTTACTACATATGACAAGTGATTACAGAAAAAGGACTAAAGAACTGATGGAACGGCAAGTCCTGCCTTGTCCTGTTGTTATCATGTCGTCAACTTAATTTAGCTGTTAGAGTTGTCTTGTCTCCTTGGCTAATTATGGGGTTTGGCCTTAAAACTAAACACCAAAATTTTGTTATTTTTTTGGGTGAACACCCAAAGAGAGAGAGAGAAAGAGAGTGAGAGAGCGAAGAGGAAAACAAAAATTGCCGACGTTAGGCCAATGTCAAAATAAATAAACCAAATTTATTATCACAAATAGCCAACAGTTTAACTACCGACAATTGTTGGTGTTGTTGCTGTTGCCCTTTTATTGTTTGTCCATAAAGGATATGTCGGTGTTTTATTTTTTTTTATTTTTCTAGGCTAAGTAAATATGGGAAAAACCAAGCAAACTTGCATGGAAGGGGTGCCTCCCACCATTTCTCTCTCTCTCTCTCTGGCCAAAAAGATTAAATCTATCATCGAAAGCAAACTAAACAATGCCACTAACTAACCGACAATTAAAAAGCAAGACAACATTGTCCGAAAAAAACTGCAGCATATGTAAGGCGTCATTGGAACCCCTCTCCCCCCCCCCCCCTTCTCTTCCCCTTTCCTAAACGTTTGTTAAATGTCAAAGTGGACTCATAAAAACAAGAGACCTGTAAGACTCAATGAATAACTGAATGGGCCAACGTATGGATGACAGTTATGAATATATGTAGGTATGTGTGCATGTATGTATGGACACATGTACGTATGTAAATGTGTGTATGTATGTAAATATGTTTGTCGATGGTATCATATGCAGTAGTCTTTGGCAAATAAACAAACATAAATATCACTGGCATTTTTTTTCCAAGTCAGCTTCGGCTTCAACGTCATTGTTGTTGTTGTTGCTGTTGGTTTTTCTTGTTGTTTACACACAACCATAGCCATAACCATACACTTACATATTTACACATGTAAATGTAGATTCATTTCTAAGGTCCTTTCACAAAGTGAATAGCTAGCTATGCAGAATATCACCATTCATTAAATGCCAAATTTGAAAATAAAAAAAAAAAAAAAAATTGGGAAACCAAATTCGGAAGAGCGGGGTATGAAAATTATTTCGAATTAAAAATGTTTTAAAGAAAAATTTTGATGGGGATTTCAAAAATTCCCCGGAAAATAACCTAAATTTTGAGTCCTTCTCAGTTTTTGGGGGTTTATTTTATAAACCCTGGGGGTCTATTTTATAAACCCTCATATGACTACAAAGAGGAATATATCCTTTAATACGGTCAAAATGTGTCTCACCAAAATAACGGTATCAGAGCCTAGGTCTCTTCGGGTGAGATACATTCCAATGCAATTGGAGTCGATCTAGAGGTGTCCGTAGCCATATGACTAGAGAGGGGAATATATAATATAATATGGCCAAAATAAGCCTCAATGAAATAACGGTATCAGAGCCTTGGTCTCTTTGGATAAAATCCGTTTCAGGACATTTCGAGACAATCTAGGGGTGTTATCCTTCATTCTTCCCGACAGACGTTTGTCTATTAATATGTCCGATAACTCTTGAAGCGAGTAACCGATTTGCTTCAAACTTGCTATATCGTAATATTATTATCAAATTTAGATTGAGGTCGGAGATGGGCAATAACGGACCACTCCTTCTGGTACCTCTCCCACAAAGGTAAAAAATGTCACAAAAAATAAATTACCTCGTAGAATATGAAAGGATCATTCAATTTGATGGAAACTGTGTAAAACCTAATATTTTTATGAGTACTAGCTGAGGTGCGAAAATGGGAAATATTGGCCAACCCCTTCTAGTACCTCCCCCACAACGGGACAAAAATTTGGAATAATACTAATGTGTCCAATAACTCACGAAGGGAGTATCGGATTTGCTTCAAACTTGCTACATCGTAATATTATTATCAAAATTAGATTGAGGTCGGAGATGGGTAATATCGGACCACTCCTTCTTGTACCTCCCCCACAAAGGTAAAAAATGACACAAAAAATAAATTACTTCGTAGTTGAAGAAAGGATCATTCAATTTGGTGCAAATATTGGAAATCCTAATATTTGTATGAGTACTAGCTAAGGGGGCAAAATGGGTAATAGCGGGCCACTCTATGAAGTACCTACCCCACAAAGGGGTCAAATTTTTGAATAATCAAAACGCTTATAAAATGAGAAACAAGGAGTCAATTCCTTTCAAATTAGGTAGATCCTAATATTTCTATGAACACAAGATCTGGCGTGAAGGTTGGATATATCGGAGTACCCATTCTGGTAACTACCCCACAAAGGGGGTCAAATTTTTAAATAACCAAAACGCTCATAAAAAATAGAAATAAGCATTTTATAATTTCCAAACTTCACACATCATAATATTTTTATCATCACACGATCTGGTGTGAAGACGGAACATATCGGTTCACACCTTTTGGTACCTCCCTCACAAAAGGGTCAAAAATCATAATAATCAAAACTCTCATAAAATGCGAAATAAGTATCCGATTCTCTTCAAATTTCACACATCATAATAGTTTAACTAACACAAGATCTGGTGTAAAGATGGGCTATATGGGTCAACTTCTTTTGGTACCTTCCCCACAAAGGGGTCAAAATTTGGTATAATTATATCTCTTATAAATCACATAATAAGCAACCGATTCATTCTAAACTTTACACATAGCAATATTTTTAATAACAGAATATTTAATGTGAAGATGGATTATGTTGGACCACCCCTTCTGGTACCTCCCCCACAAAGGGGTAACATTTTTGAATAATTCTAGCTCTTATATAAAGGTAAAATAAGAGTCCGATTGTCTTCAAATTTGGTTAATCCTAATACTTCAACTAAAACAAGATCTGGTGCGAAGACGGAATGGAACGGACCACCCCTTCTGGTACCTCCCTCACAAAATGGTTAAAATTTGGAATAATTACAATTCTTATTAATTGTAATCTAAGAGTCCGATTCTCTTCAAATATCACACATCTCGATATTTCCATTAACACAAGATCTGGAATGAAGATGGAGTATGGCGGACCACTCCTTCTGCTAACTCCCCCACAAAGGGGTCAAAATATTAAAATAATTAAAATGCTCATAAAATACAAACTAAGCATCTGATTCTCTTCAAATTTCACGTATCGTAATATTTCTATCAACACAAAATTAGATGTGAAGATGGATTATATCGAATCATCCTTTCTGGTACCTCCCCCACAAAGGGGTCAAAATTTGGTATAATTAAAATGCTCATAAAATGCGAAATAAGAATCCGATTCCTTTCAAATTCCGTACATCCTAATATTTCCGCGAATACAAAATCAGGTGTGAAAATGGTAGATATTCGGCCACCCCTCTGGTACCTTCCCCACAAAGGGGCCGAAATTTCGAATAACCAAAACGGTCATAAGATACAAAATAAGCATCCGATTCTATTGAAATTTCACACATCGTAATATTTTAACTAACACAAGATCTGGTGTAAGTATGGATTTGATCGGACCACTCCTTCTGGTACCTCGCCCACATAGGGGTCAAAATTTGGAATAATTCAAAGTCTCATAAAACACGTAATAATCATCCAATTCTCTTAAAAGTTCACATATCTGAATATTCTTACCAACACAAAATTAGGTGTGAAGATGGGATGTATGGGTCCATTCCTTCTGGTACCTCCCCCACAAAGGGGTCAAAATTTGGAATAACCAAAACGCTCATAAAATGCGAAATAAGTATCCGATTCTCTTCAAATTTCACATATCGCAATATTCTTACCAACACAAAATTAGGTGTGAACATGGTAGATATCCGGCCACCCCTTCTAGTACCTCCCCCACAAAGAGGTTAAAATTCGGAATAATCAAAACGCTCATAAAATGTGAAATAAGCAATCCATTTCTTTCAAACTTGGCACATTCCAATATTTCCATCAGTACAAAATCTGCTGTGAAGATGGTAGATATCGGTCAACTCCTTCTGAGGTCAAAATTTTAAATAGCCACAACGCTAATAAAATGCGAAAAACTCATCCATTTCTCTTTAAATTTCACAAATCTCAATATTTTACTAACACCAAATTGAGTCCTTGTTTTCCCTTCGCCATTAGCTTCCACCCTCGAATTTTATAGCCATCCTTCTTCTTTATTTTCGCCCAAAAAGTGTTCACATATTTGTCTTTCTAATGGCTTTGTTTGCAGTTATCGAGAACTGAATGTTGCCACCAAAAAAAAAAAAAAAAAAAAAAAAACAATATATTCTCCAAACGTTGAGTAAAATTGCTGACATTTAGGATTTGCGGTTTATTTTATTTGGGAGAGTAGGTTTTTCATGTTACTTCCAATTTTACATGGTGAGAAAAAAAAAAGAAAAACGAGTAAAAAAAGCTGGGCCGAAATTTCAATACCATCCACCATTGGGAAGGAATTTGCAAAATGTCGAAAAAAAATCCGCTGAAAAATTACATCAACATTTTTTAAATTCCGAATTTAGGGAATTTTGGGTTTAGATACCTTTACATCCAATTATCTGCCAGAGTAGGTGATGCCTATTACGATCTCTAAAATCAAATTTTGAGCTAATTCTATTAACAAATGTAGCGAAGATTATCAAAATACCGAATATCTGAAGGTATTGTTATATGGGGGGTCTATACCAAAACTTGGATCCATATGTACAGTTCTGGGCAAGAATGTTTTCTACAATTTTGAAACACATATTTCCAATTT